TTGCTGAGAGGTAATCCTAAGTGTTCTCACCACCAAAAAAAAAAAAAAATTGTAGCCATGTGAGATAATGGATATGTTGATTCATTTGATTTTGGTAATCATTTCATAATGTATGCTTAGATCAAAACATCACAGAGCATACCTTACATATGTACAACATTTATTTTGTTATTTCTACTTCAATAAAGCTGGAAAAAATAAATAATTTTGAAGGTAAAACTAAGAGTTAAATGGGGAACATACATTTACCACTGGAAAATATCATGAATTTGTCTTTAGGTACCACAGACTCCTTGTTCAAGGATCCTTCTCTAGCAAGGAGATTCTCTTCCAACTATCTCTAAGTCTCTAAACCTGCATTTATTTACATTAAGGTAATATAAATCTAAGAATTTTTAAACTCCCAACCTTGAACTAAATTAAGCCTAGAGATTATATTGTTTGTTCTATGTAACACAGACCTCCAACATTTTTTAACCAAGTTTTTTTTAATAATTAAAAACTGAAATATTTCACATAAAATAGGTAATACTATAGGATGTGCATCAAATAGCTTCTGATCTTTTGATTGCAAAGTGCTGTCACTAGGTTATGAAAATGTTTTTGATTCCTGGGGTATTTTTCCAAAAGAATCTCATCCAGAGTTGAAAGTTACAACTTTTACAGCTTTTGACACCCATCTAAGGCGTTTTTCCAAATTACCAGTCAACTTGTCACTAGTTTGCTTTCTTTTACTAATTATCTAGGTTGGAAGCTCAATGAATTTTGACATAAAACTGAAAAACAATATAAAGAACCTGATAGAAATTTTGGAAATTTATACTATAATTGATTTGAAGAACTTAACCAGTGTGTTTTATCAGGAGTTAAAACAAAGTTGAATAGACAGTAGGTGAACTGGAAGATGGGCTAAAAGGAAATTCCCAACCTAAAGAATAAAGAGGAAAAAGATTAAAAATTGAGAGAAAAGTATATGAGGCATATATAACATAGTATAATAGTGTCTTGTAATTGGAATCTCAGAATAAGGGGGATGAGAATGGGACA